TGCTCTGCAGGTCAACATTTTGATCATAGAAAACAAAAACAAAAACAAAAATGAATTACATACCACTTCCCATAGGAAATAACACAAGACTCTTTGGAAGCCTAGCCACGTTGTTATGAAATGGCTACGTGGCCCTGGAGAAGAATCATCAGTCCATGTTTCATGAACAGACTGAATGAGTGACTAGCATCTAGCATTCTTTACCACAGTTTAGGTTTATACAGCTGGTCTTCACTCAGACTCTCAATGGTGGGGAGTGTGCTTAGTTGTCTTCCTATCCTCAGGGATTGGAAAATAGTAATAAGCCCTGACATATGGAACGTATCTCATAAATGCTTATATCAAGAGATTGGGGCGGGGGAGGACAAACATAGGGAATAGTATATTTACTAGACATCCATGATCCATATACTTCACATCCAATCTAGAAATAAGAACATAATTTACATTAGGTAATATACTTTTGAAGATTCTTACAACAGGGCAATCACAGAAGGGTCTTGCTAACTCACAAGCATTCTAGGCATACACACTGCAAAGCCTCTCGTTGGGTTCCAGGGGCTCCACCAAGGGAGGAGAAGACTGGATTCCAGGGTGCTCTCCTCATCACGTACCATGGAATGTGTTTTCCCATAAAAACTGTGTTATCACAAGTCTATGAACAATTCTGGTTATTAGCTAAGGAAGAGAATACAGAACTGTTTCCACGTAACAACAGTATTTCAATTATACTCTGAGGTAAACAAATTGCTTGCAGACTGTCCCATGAATCTAATCATTTAATACATTGCTTCTACAAGAAAATATGTGTTAAGTTAAACTTAGTCATGATTTTCTGGTTAACATTGATTCTTCTGTTAAGTTTCTCATCATCAAAAATTGCAGATGCAAACATTTAAGAATAAGAAATAAAATTATCTCAAATTTTCTTTGCCACTTTTATACTTTGAAAACTCAAAATGGATATACCATGTAAAAACAAATTTAAGGTCCAAAATATTTCAGATTTACATATTGATAAACAAGAAAATGCTGAAGATTATCAGGAGGACTTTCAAGCTGAAGTACAGTATGGTACCATCATCTAATCATGGCTACCTGAAAGACTGTATCACAGCTCTGTCACCAGCACATTGCAAATACCTTGAAAGGGAAGGGAAACCAACCCTGGGAGTTTTCTGTGTCAAGTCAGGGGTTTTCCAATATGAAAACCATTCCAACCTTCTGGAAAGTTTAGGGTGATTGGGGGTTGGAATGCACAGTAAAACAAAGGTAATGCTGTTAGGTAAAACATACAACTTCTAGCAGATCTATACAGATGTAAAAAGTACAACGAACCTGGCTTTCATTTTACTATTTCTTTCACACCTTAGATTTTAAAGTAAATCTCAAGGAATTTTTCTTTCCAATATAAGAATTGAATCCACCTTAAAATGGAAACAAAAAAGAAAAACAGATGCTCTTCTGGCAAAGTATAACATGAAATCCCTTGAGGGAAAAATTCTTGACAAACGTACCATTGATTATTTTTAAATTTTTTCATTGCCTTTCTTCATGTTATTGCTCAACAGCAAAAGAATAACTGTATCCCAGCTACGTTTCTTCCTTTGGAATACAGTAGTATCTCTAAATTTTGTAACATATGTAATATTTTAAACAGTAAAGAAGTGACCATGCATCAAGCTGAAGGTAGTGAGTGACTAGTATTCAAGAGACAGCTCTGTCCGACTATAGTATGGTTACTGAGAATTTTCATCAACATCTCTTTTTTTTTTTCCTTTTTGTCTTTTTTCGTGACCGGTAACGGGATTGCAACCCTCAGTGTTGCGCCCGCACCGCGACCGGCAACGGGATCGCAACCCTCGGTGTCGCGCCCGCACCGCGCTCAACCAGTGAGCTGACTGGTCTCTATGTTGGATCCAAACCCTTGGCGGGAGCGCCACCGCACTCCCAAGCGCCACACTCTACCGAGTGCGCCACTGGGCTGGCCCTCATCAACATCTCTTAATGACACCCTCCTATCAGCCCTGAAAAATGGCTGCTGCTACACAACTCTAGAGTTGTATAGTGAGTGGATGACACAAATAGGCTTGTGTTTAATTTTTTTTTGTAATGTGATGAATTTAAATAGAACAGCCACAATAAGTTAAGTGTATGTAAGTGATCGAAGTGCTAGAAAAGGGGAAGATAGATGGGCCTAAACTACAATACCAGGCAAGGACTGGATCTGTGTAGGTTTCTATGTACAGAGACAAGCAGGGTTAGGCACTTAAAGCTTTTTGATGAAAATCCTGGAAAACAGCCTAGGCCTACATTTACTATTATTACTATCAATAGTAACGTAATTTTCATGAAGAAACATGCAATCAGAAACATTACAGAGACAGAGAAGAGCCTAAGATTGTTCTGAAATGAAATGATACAAATTTGTCTAGAGTATCATACCTGAATTATAAAATTTGATGCTTTTACACTGTCATATTTCTTTATCATTAGTGGTAAATACCTCATTGAAAAATCATTTATAAAATTATTGACAATGATACAAAGCCTTAGCTGGCACAGATATTACTGTACTGGTACCCATCTGCTAAGGAAAATATCATCATCCACATATCTTAAGTATTTTCTCATATCTTAAACCAATATTCTTTGTTTTATTCAAAGGTGTTTTTTTTTTTTTTTTTT